TCAGGGATCAGTGGTCAACTGATGGCTGTCAGGTACATATCTCAGATTTCATAGGGCAACCTTTGAACTTTAAAGTAAATTTATCTGGCACACAAGACCAGAACTAGAATAATAACTGCTTTTTACACAATAAGTCACAAAGACGTTGCAATAAACTCAAACATCTCCATTTCAACAGACTCTATAGCTTTGCATGGAAAATACCTTAGCCATAATCTACTCCTCCAAACAGTAGCATTCATAAAGGTGTAGGATTGCACATTATATGTGGTGTTTTATTAAATTCTTCAAGTGTTTAGCTTTGATTAATAGTATTGAGAGGGACATTAATTTTTTACGGTGTATACTATGTTTTTAGCTCACCTGCCCGAAGGGCAAGTGAGCTTATGCCGTGGCGCAGCGTCCGTTGTCAACTTTTTCTTTAAAACCTATCTCCTCCTAAACGCCAAGTAGGATTTCAACCAAATTTGCTCTGAAACTTCATTGAGGGAGAGCAATCATTTCCTAAATAAATGAGACTGGTTCGACCACTGGGGCTAGGAAGACGCTAATATCCCCTAATTGCCTGCAAACATTTCTTAATTGAATGAGATTGATTTGACCCCTGCGGTCCTAAGAAATGGTACAGCTAGATTATCATATTCTTTGGTGTAGTTTTCATAAATTGGTAAAAATTGGTTTCTAGGTTTATAAAAGCTTATAGTTGAATGAAAATTAAAGTATTGTTTAATTACACCCTGTAATATGACATATTACTTATTTCAAAATATGTTAACATGGCAACTCAATGGAGCCCCCTGATTAGTTGAAAGTCAGATATTGTTGTCCCAGTTGGATTAGAACATAGATCTTGTCTGGATTTGAGGAAATTTCATATGAAGATGTACTAATGCATTCAGTTGTAATGACTTAAATATAAAACCAGGTGAGCGATACAGGTCCAATGAACCTGTTGTTGAATACTTCTCAAATGGATTTCATTCTTTTTTCTTTTGCCACTGAAAAGGACAAAATGGCCATATGGTGCAGTAAATATACATATTAAATTTTCAATTAGGTGCTTGCTTAATTTCTTATATTTTACTAGCACAGTTTTTAGCACATTTCCCTGCAGTAAGAAAGTCATTATATTATGTTTTGAACATAATTCCTACAAAATTCGTTTGACTTGTTTGTTGAATCATGCTGCAATGCTGTTTTTTCCTTGACAGATTTCCCCTCCGAAAAACCTGAAGACAATGACTTGCTCCTGCTACCACTTGACCTCTTTCGCTGCAGGCTTTATTGTAGTGCCTAACCTGGTTGACCCTATTGCTGATGCAACTCTCTTCTTGACCTTCTTTGACAATCCAGTCATTGTGATTACAGTACTGATTGTGTGGTGTCTCTACCTAATCATGCTGGTATGGGCGCGACGCAAAGACAAGGTCGAAAGCATGAAGGTTAGTCATTGGTGTCTGTTATCACTTAGATATCAAAGTTTGTTGAGCATAGGTAAGGTCTAGATTTCAACCTTTGTCTGGTGTGAAGTGTCTCTATTCACCGGAAACCTTGATCGTTGAGCATAGGTAAGGTCTAGAGTTCACCCTTTGTCTGGTGTGAAGTATCTCCAGTCACCAGATACCTTGATTGCGGAGCATAGGTAAGGTCTAGAGTTCAACCTTTGTCTGGTGTGAAGTGTCTCCAGTCACCAGATACCTTGATTGTGGAGCATAGGTAAGGTCTAGAGTTCAACCTTTGTCTGGTGTGAAGTGTCTCCAGTCACCAGATACCTTGATTGTGGAGCATAGGTAAGGTCTAGAGTTCAACCTTTGTCTGGTGTGAAGTGTCTCCAGTCACCAGATACCTTGATTGTGGAGCATAGGTAAGGTCTAGAGTTCAACCTTTGTCTGGTGTGAAGTGTCTCCAGTCACCAGATACCTTGATTGTGGAGCATAGGTAAGGTCTAGAGTTCAACCTTTGTCTGGTGTGAAGTGTCTCCAGTCACCAGATACCTTGATTGTGGAGCATAGGTAAGGTCTAGAGTTCAACCTTTGTCTGGTGTGAAGTGTCTCCAGTCACCAGATACCTTGATTGTGGAGCATAGGTAAGGTCTAGAGTTCAACCTTTGTCTGGTGTGAAGTGTCTCCAGTCACCAGATACCTTGATTGTGGAGCATAGGTAAGGTCTAGAGTTCAACCTTTGTCTGGTGTGAAGTGTCTCCAGTCACCAGATACCTTGATTGTGGAGCATAGGTAAGGTCTAGAGTTCAACCTTTGTCTGGTGTGAAGTGTCTCCAGTCACCAGATACCTTGATTGTGGAGCATAGGTAAGGTCTAGAGTTCAACCTTTGTCTGGTGTGAAGTGTCTCCAGTCACCAGATACCTTGATTGTGGAGCATAGGTAAGGTCTAGAGTTCAACCTTTGTCTGGTGTGAAGTGTCTCCAGTCACCAGATACCTTGATTGTGGAGCATAGGTAAGGTCTAGAGTTCAACCTTTGTCTGGTGTGAAGTGTCTCCAGTCACCAGATACCTTGATTGTGGAGCATAGGTAAGGTCTAGAGTTCAACCTTTGTCTGGTGTGAAGTGTCTCCAGTCACCAGATACCTTGATTGTGGAGCATAGGTAAGGTCTAGAGTTCAACCTTTGTCTGGTGTGAAGTGTCTCCAGTCACCAGATACCTTGATTGTGGAGCATAGGTAAGGTCTAGAGTTCAACCTTTGTCTGGTGTGAAGTGTCTCCAGTCACCAGATACCTTGATTGTGGAGCATAGGTAAGGTCTAGAGTTCAACCTTTGTCTGGTGTGAAGTGTCTCCAGTCACCAGATACCTTGATTGTGGAGCATAGGTAAGGTCTAGAGTTCAACCTTTGTCTGGTGTGAAGTGTCTCCAGTCACCAGATACCTTGATTGTGGAGCATAGGTAAGGTCTAGAGTTCAACCTTTGTCTGGTGTGAAGTGTCTCCAGTCACCAGATACCTTGATTGTGGAGCATAGGTAAGGTCTAGAGTTCAACCTTTGTCTGGTGTGAAGTGTCTCCAGTCACCAGATACCTTGATTGTGGAGCATAGGTAAGGTCTAGAGTTCAACCTTTGTCTGGTGTGAAGTGTCTCCAGTCACCAGATACCTTGATTGTGGAGCATAGGTAAGGTCTAGAGTTCAACCTTTGTCTGGTGTGAAGTGTCTCCAGTCACCAGATACCTTGATTGTGGAGCATAGGTAAGGTCTAGAGTTCAACCTTTGTCTGGTGTGAAGTGTCTCCAGTCACCAGATACCTTGATTGTGGAGCATAGGTAAGGTCTAGAGTTCAACCTTTGTCTGGTGTGAAGTGTCTCCAGTCACCAGATACCTTGATTGTGGAGCATAGGTAAGGTCTAGAGTTCAACCTTTGTCTGGTGTGAAGTGTCTCCAGTCACCAGATACCTTGATTGTGGAGCATAGGTAAGGTCTAGAGTTCAACCTTTGTCTGGTGTGAAGTGTCTCCAGTCACCAGATACCTTGATTGTGGAGCATAGGTAAGGTCTAGAGTTCAACCTTTGTCTGGTGTGAAGTGTCTCCAGTCACCAGATACCTTGATTGTGGAGCATAGGTAAGGTCTAGAGTTCAACCTTTGTCTGGTGTGAAGTGTCTCCAGTCACCAGATACCTTGATTGTGGAGCATAGGTAAGGTCTAGAGTTCAACCTTTGTCTGGTGTGAAGTGTCTCCAGTCACCAGATACCTTGATTGTGGAGCATAGGTAAGGTCTAGAGTTCAACCTTTGTCTGGTGTGAAGTGTCTCCAGTCACCAGATACCTTGATTGTGGAGCATAGGTAAGGTCTAGAGTTCAACCTTTGTCTGGTGTGAAGTGTCTCCAGTCACCAGATACCTTGATTGTGGAGCATAGGTAAGGTCTAGAGTTCAACCTTTGTCTGGTGTGAAGTGTCTCCAGTCACCAGATACCTTGATTGTTGAGCAAAAGTAAGGTCTAGAGTTCAACCTTTGTCTGGTGTGAAGTGTCTCCAGATACCTTGATGGTTGAGCATAGGTAAGGTCTAGAGTTCAACCTTTGTCTGACGTGAAGTGTCTCCAGTCACCAGATACCTTGATTGTGGAGCATAGATCAAAAGTTCAAATTTTGTCTGTTCCAGGCATAGTTCAGAATACAGAAACACATGGGCCACTTTAATTAGTTAAACTGACTTAATGGAATTGAGATTAAGTAAAACAATATGCCCCTGCAAATGAGAGGACAATGAAATAACCCAAATCAGCACCAGTGCAGACCTAGAGAGCATGATATCTATATCATATTTAGTTATCATTAGTAGGTTGGGGGACAGGACAGTGAACAGATCTCAGCCTCTCATGACATTTGGCCATCTTTGTGTGTTTGTCCAAAACATAACAACAATTACTCAGGGCCAGAAGAGGAGTATTTGATAAAACATAGATCATGTTGCAAAACCCCACTCAATGATAGAAAAGCAGTATTTTGAGGCATTTACTTATGTTCAAGCTCATTAAATAGAAGACAGAATATCAAATGGCAATTGGGCTTTTCATGACCTGGAAAGTTTATTCTTATTCACTGGACTTATAACAAGAACATTGTTATAGGAGATTTTTTATGAATATTTCCTTGTTGATTTTCCTTGGATTAGCAGATCTTTAAATCTGTGAATAAATAGGTTATACTTATTACATACAAATATATCAATGAACACTGCCACTTTACAATGTATTTAAAACCAGTGACCTTCCAACAGCTGCTTGAATGCTTGAAGCTTTCAAAATAAAGTCTCATATGTATTTTGAAGGCTATAAAACTTATTATGTTAAAGGAGAAATAGGTGTATTGAGACAAATCAACATTTTTGTTGTTGAGGGAGGTGTGTGAAGCCGCACAAGTTGTGATAATACTTATTTGGGGGATGTGTTTGAAGCTTCTCAAATTGTTAAGATTATAATTATGATGGTGTAATAAATTGCTAGAGGCTACACAACTTGTAATGATTTTATTTAGGGAGGTGTCAATGTGCTGGAGGACAACTGTGCTGAGGACAAATATGTGTATGTGGTTGGATTTGTGACAGGCTGGTGGAGAAGGGCAGGAACAACCTCCAATGTTTTTATGTGTCTCCATGGCAGCAAAGGTTTCAGCTCTAAACACCTGTTGTCTGATGGTATTGTCCAGCACTTTCAAACTGGGGCCGAGGATTGGTTTGTGCTGACCACACCACTCAGCCTTGGAGAATTACAGAGTATCGTGGTATGGCACGACAACTCTGGTGAAAATCCTGCATGGTGGGTAGTTCAATTCCACTGATTAATCAAATCATACCTCTCTTATGGTCAACAAATGGTAGCTAGGACTTAGTGGTAGGACTTGTAAGCTCACTTGGCACAGACTGCCCGTCTCCAACTCTTTGACAAATTGGAATAGAACCAGTACACCTGATCATCTTGATATGTAAAGTCCATTCTTTATTGGCCGTATTTCTAAGGACATGAGGTTATTATGTCGCCTTTGGTTTACGATTCTGGTTTAAACAAGTATGATGTTTGTTTGAAAATAGGAAAGAAATTTTAAGAACGTATAAGACTTTGTATCAGAAGAAGTGATATCAATGCATCCACAACAACAGAGAAAGACTCGGTAAACTTTGAGTACCATCCATGGTGAAAATGGCGAGGTTGTAGAGAAAACCAAACAAATCAGTAAGCAAGAGACAATAGGCGACGGGGAGAGGGGTTATTGTGGCCATCTAGGCAACATTGTATTGGCCAACTACCCAGCAGTGATAGGTAGAGCCACTGAAGGTGACTTCCACACGAGGCTTTCTGTTAATATTACCTTAACTCATTCACCCCTCAAATTTTATAATGAGCTATTCCAACCTTTGAATTAGAAGAGTTTAAATGTGTCTTCAGGGGGGAGTGAGTTAATGTACCACTAGATTTTCTCAGGCTAACTTACATGTAACTTACCAATGGTATCCATTCATACTGAAATGTAGGATTAGTACCTATTCTACCTTTTGAATTAATAGAATTCTACCTTTTTGAATAAATAGAATTACAATTTAATATGTTCGAAACTGATCCTAATTTTATTAAAACAGATATGTGTATAGTCACTTGAACTAAATAACCTGTCACATTGAACTTTTTCTTGGAATATTTATATCGGGCTATTCCATACATTTTCAGGTAGGTGTCCATGTCCACTGTTTCAGAGTGCAGTTTACACATCTATAGGGACATCGGAACTGTTTCACCTGTAACTTTGATTATCACTCTTTTCTACTATGTATCTACCTATGATCTCAATTTGAATATTAACCCCTCTGTTATTAATATGGTAATAGAAGGTCAACACAGGTCAATATAGTGTGGCAATACATGGAATGAACTGCAATAACAACTCTGCTCAAAATATAATCTATTTGATTTTACCAAATTTTTTAGGTTTCTGAAACAGATTGTGGTTAGAGATATCCAAACAGATAAGATATGGCATTTCTTGTACAATGACTGGCTGGCTGTCGACCGAGGGGTTGGACGGATCAAGGTAGAAATTCATGCATTGACCCCGGAGGACCTTGTACAAAACTCGCTCTATCAGTTTGGTATCCAGTCTAGTAAAGACCTACAGAACAACCACCTTTGGATTAGTATCATCTCATGTCCAGCCTACAGGTACATCAAACAAATCAACTTTTTATTTTACTTTATAAATTAACGATGCAATCATGAAATTTGGAACTATCCCCTTTGTCACGACAGGGAAGTAGTTGATATTCATGCTAAATTGCAATGATCTTCCTAGGCAGGAAGAAGTGCATACAGTCATTTGCAAGGATATGTTTGGGGTCCTGCTCTGCTCCTTTAGACGTGGTCTCTGTGACCTAATATGGAAATGGTTGAGACTCTAACATTCATACTACTGCTAAAGTATTACAATATTAACACACTCCTGCTACCAGGATTAGCTAAAGGGAATTAAGCATATACTGGCCTGCATTTTCTTGATTTGAAGAAACGATTACTCCTATACACTGCCAATTGATTCCATTAGCTAGGGTCCTGCCTGTAGATGAGAACTCAGTCTCTGTCATAACATGGAGATGGTTGAGATCCCCACTCTTTAGCCATATTTGTACAATTGCTAGACATGACAATTGATGCAACTCGTGTTATCATGACTGTCCAAAGGATTCAGCTTTGTGAAAAATTGATGACTTAGTACCATGGTCATAACATCTAACTGATTTATACAGCTGCTTGCAGGGCATGAAGAAATAAGCACATTTATGCTACCAGAATAAAGCCATAGGTCGGTCCCTGTCCCCTTCTGGACTAAGTCACTCCACCCTATAAACACATAGGCATATGCAGATCTCAACCCAATTTGCTATGCACTAGTATGCAGCAAGATTATTCTCTTGGACCTTGAAATCAATTGATGTAAAAAGGAAGAGTAGCCCTATGAGGTGTAACTAACAGACCCTATTGAGCATGAGCTCTTGTTATCATGGTTGTTCAGTTTGCTTAAAGACTATTTCAACAAAACATCTATACACATTTCAAAGGCAACTTCTCAGTACGAAGCTGTATGGGAATAATTACTCTTAAAGTTCATGATTAATGGGTGTTTTTTCTATCACCGGTTATTAGCTCACCTGGCCCAAAGGGCCATGTGAGCCCATGCCGTACTCCAGCGTCCAGCCGTCAGCTTTTTCTTTTGAACAACTTCTTCTGAAGAACTGTAGGACCTAGGGTCATAATATTTGGCGAGTAGGTACCTGGGATGGAGTGATATAAAGTTTCCTCATTAAAATGACCTTGACCTACTTTCAAAGTCACAGCGGTCAAATATGTTAAAATTTTACAATTAACAATATCCTAAGAACTATTTGAACTAGAGTCATGATACTTGGGTATGTTATGTAAGACCAGCAGTGCGAAATTTTTTCTCAATTACAGTAATGAGGTCAAAGGTCAAAATTAAATGCTAGTCGGGGGTCAAATGTCAACTTTGGTTAAAAGCTTCAACAATCTTCTTCTCAAATTCCATAAGACTTTTAGGGTCATGATAGTTGGCCAGTAGGTACCTGGGATAAAGTGTTATAAAGTTTCCTCATTAAAATTCCCTTGACCTACTTTCAAGGTCACAGGGGTCAATTATGTTAAAAACTTCAAACAACAATATCCTAAGAACCATTTGGACTAGAGTCATGATACTCGGGTATGTTATTTAGACCAGCTGTGTGAATTGTTTCCTTTAAATTATTACAGTAATGAGGTCAAAGGTCAACTGTAAGTGCAAATCGGGAGTCAAAGGTCAATATGGGTAAAAAGCTTTAAAATTAAAACAACAATATCTTCAGAACTGTTTAAGAGATGTTAAAATGTCTTGTGTTCTAGTTACTAAAATTGGTCTTAAGTTACCTATATGTCAGTTGCATGTAACAAAATAAACAGGTGAGCGATGGGGTTTTCATGTCACAGTTGATTTTTAGCTCACCTGGCCTGAAGGACCGGTGGAGCTTATCCCATGGTGCGGCATCCGTCGTCTGTTCGCCAACCTTTTCGTTTAAAACACTACTTGTCCTGAAAGGCCCAGTAGATTTTGACTTAATTTGGTCTGAAGCACCCTTAGGCCAAGGGCATTTAATTTTGTATAAACAGTGACTGTGGTCCTCCTGGGGGCAGAGGGGCGGGGTCAAATAGGGGAAATAGAGGTAAAAGCTTTGAAATCCTTTCTACCATGCATACAGATGAAGGGATTTTATTCCAATTATTTCTAGAGCATCCTTCTTGCAAGGGGACTCAATTTTGTATAAACGGTTGGTGTAGCCCCCCTGGTGGCAGTGGGGCGGGACCCAATAGGAGAAATAGAGGTAAAATCTTTAAGGAATATTATCCTAATTTAGTCTAGAGCATCATTGGTCAAAGGGGACTGAAATTTGTATAGATTGTGGTTGTGGGCCCCCTGGATCAGAGGGGTGGGTCAGAATAAGGGAAATAGTGGTAAATCTTTAAAATGCTTCTTCTACAGTAGGGATAAAGGGATTTTATCCTGATTTGGTCTGGAGCAGCCTTGGGCCAAGGGGACTCAATTTTGTATAAACAGTGGTTGTGGCCCCTTTGGGGGCAGGGCTCAATAGGGGAATTTTATGTTTAAATCTTTAAAATCCTTTTCCTTCTGTGCCATTGGAGGGATTTTATCCAAATTAGGCCTGGAGCATTCTTGGGCAAAGGCAACTAAATTTTGTATAAATGGAGGTCGTAGCCCCTCTGGGTGCAGAGTTGCAGGGCCAAATTGGTGAATTTGAGGTTTAAGTCTTCAAAATCCTTCTTTCTCTGTACCATTTGAGGGATTTTATGTAATAATTTCCCATGGTTGCTTTATCATCCAGCTGAGCGATACAGGCCAACTGGGCCTCTTGTTCTAGTATCAAGATTTTCCTGGTAGATGCGTTCTTATATATGATATAAAATACAGGTACGGTTTTCCAACGGAATCACACCAGTTTGTAGAAATCTCATGGTTTCATAATATGGTCCTTAACCAATTTCATAAGTTTAGCAGGAAACATAATGACAGGTAAGATATATGATACAGTATCCCTTATCGAAGGTATGTCCCATATAGGAGATGATAACTAACCTGCTGTATCGAAGGTATGTCCCATATCCCATATAGGAGATGATAACTAACCTGCTGTACCTAAGGTATGTCCCATATAGGAGATGATAACTAACCTGCTGTATCTAAGGTATGTCCAATATAGGAGATGATAACTAACCTGCTGTATCGAAGGTATGTCCCAACCTGCTGTATTGAAGGTATGTCCCATATAGGAGATGATAACCAACCTGCTGTATCTAAGGTATGTCCCATATAGGAGATGATAACTAACCTGCTGTATCTAAGGTATGTCCCAACCTGCTGTATGGAAGGTATGTCCCATATAGGAGATGATAACTAACCTGCTGTATCGCAGGTATGTCCCATATAGTAGATGATAACCAACCTGCTGTATTGAAGGTATGTCCCAAATAGAAGATGATAACTAACCTTCTGTATCTAAGGTATGTCCAATATAGGAGATGATAGCCAACCTGCTGTATTGAAGGTATGTTCCATATAGGAGATAAATAACCTGCTGTATCTACGGTATCTCCCCTATAGGAGATGATAAGCAACCTGCTTTATCGAAGGCATGTCCCATATAGGAGAGTATCACCAACCTGCTGTATCAGAGGTATGTCCCATATAGGACATGATAACTAACCTGCAGTATCTAAGGTATGTCTCATATAGGAGATGATGACTAACCTGCTGTATAGAAGGTATGTCCCAACCTGCTGGATTGAAGGTATGTCCCAACCTGCTGGATTGAAGGTATGTCCCAACCTGCTTTATGTAAGGTATGTCCGATATAGGAGTTGATAACTAGCCTGCTGTATCGAAGGTAAGTCCCATATAGGAGAGGATAACTAACCTGCTGTATCTAAGGTATGTCCCATATAGGAGATGATAACCAACCTGCTTTATCGAAGGTATGTCCCATATAGAAGATGATAACTAACCTGCTGTATCGAAGGTATGTCCCATATAGGAGATGATACCTAACCTGCTGTATTTAAGGTATGTCCCATATCGGAGATGATAACCAACCTGCATTATCGAAGGTATGTCCCAAATAGAAGATGATAACTAACCTTCTGTATCTAAGGTATATCCCATATAGGAGATGATAACCAACCTGCTGTATCTAAGGTATGTCCCAACCTGCTGTATCAAATGTATGTCCCATATAGGAGATGATAACTAACCTGCTGTATTGAAGGTATGTCCCATATAGGAGATGATAACCAACCTGCTGTATCTAAGGTATGTCCCAACCTGCTGTATCAAATGTATGTCCCATATAGGAGATGATAACTAACCTGCTGTATCGAAGGTATGACCCAACCTGCTGTATCGAAGGTATGCCCATATAGGAGATGATAACCAACCTGCTGTATTGAAGGTATGTCCCATATAGGAGATGATAACTAACCTGCTGCAACGAAGGTCTGACGCAACTTGCTGTATCGAAGGTATGCCCATATTGGAGATGATAACCAACCTGCTGTATCAAAGGTATGTCCCATATAGGAGATGATAACCAACCTGCTGTATTGAAGGTATGTCCCATATAGGAGATGTTAACCAACCTGCTGTATCGAAGGTATGTCCCATATAGGAGATGATAACCAACCTGCTGTATTGAAGGTATGACCCATATAGGAGATGATAACCAACCTGCAGTATCAAAGGTATGTCCCATATAGGAGATGATAACCAACCTGCTGTATCTCATTATCATAGTGACCGAATATTGGACGTCTTCAGAGTCGGGGTAATACTTCTGTACCCACTCATTGGACGCTTTGGAGAGTATTTCTTTTTCACCTATTCCATCTTTACATTGGTGTTTATCTATTATCCTAAACTTATGCTCTGTTGGATTCTCCCCTTTATCAGTATACAATGCCTGCCTTATTATCCTATTATCTTTGGATAATATTTTTTTACTATCCCTTAACCTTTGATCAACTATTTCAGTATCCTAATCGTTATAGAGATCGTCTTTTTGACTTCTGTTACACAGGTTTGTACCTGACCAACATATAATTTCCAAATAACTTGTTTTAAGTTGTTTTGAATTGTCTCCAAATTAGCATACATACAACATGTCTTATTTAACCTCTACAGTGCATGTTCTATTATCTTTATTACATTTGTTAATTTGTTTTTGACCAGCCCCTTTACCCGTGTACAACGCCTGTCCTGTGCTCTGTCCCTTCTCCTGATGACCATGTTGACCAGTCTCATGTTCCATGGGATATCAACAGACGATCCAGCTGACCAGTTGAGTTCTGGCGGCATCACACTGTCTCTGTCCGACATCATCATTGGAATAGAGAGTGGTCTCATCATGTTCCCCATTAACATTATCATCATGCAGTTGTTCACTAAACTAGAACCTAGACCTTCGGCTCTAGCCAGAAGGAAAAGTTCTCTGGCTGACTGTCCCGAGGAAGAGGACAAGTCCGTTGGACTTCATACCAGTGAGAGCAAAGGCAAATCCAAAATGGGGGGAAAGGTATTGAAAGGGACCAGCAAAACCGAGCAGAAAAAGCCCTTCCGGTAATTATGTACTCAATAAAACTCCATGAAAATTGTGTTCCCCAAGGTGAGATAAAGAATGGTGTACGGAAGAATGTCAGTTTAAAGGTGATGAGTGGTATGGAGAAGTGGTGTGGGAGGGAAATTTGGTCAGGGAGACAAAATAGTTAAATGATTGAAAAGAGGTGGTAAAAGGAGATGAGGTGATTCAAGGGAAAGAAGATGCATGAAGGAAAAGAGGTGGTAGGAAAAGACTAAATTGTGAAGACAAAAGTTATATGGAAGAAAGGCGTTGGAATGGGGAAAATTATATGGGAAGTGGTGGTATCGAGTATGAAGGGTCGAATAAAATTTGGTATGGGGAGACAAGATCCGATGTGAAGGAGAACAGTTTATTAAGATGGTATGATGGGGAAGAGGTGGTGAAGAGGAGAGAAAGGTGTGCCGTAGAAGAAGGTATATACGGAGAGTTGTATGGGGAGAGGTGATGAACGGCATGTGGAGTAAAATAAGGTAGCGAGGAGAAGAGATGATATGGAGTAGAGTAGGTAACAAGGAACAGATAGAATGATGTAAAGTGGTATTAGGAAAAGGGATGGTAAGGAACAAAAGAAGTTATGAGCAGGAGAGATGGAATGGAGTAAAAAAAGTATTAGGACAAAAAGGTGGTATAGAGTAGAAGACGTAACGAAAAGAGATGGCATGGAGAAATAATTTGTTTTAAGACTTTGATATAGCAATCAATCATATAAACATTCAATATTTATTATATAACTGTTTTCATCATTTTAATATTGTAGGTTTCCCTGGTGGGTGGTATATATTGCGTGGACATTGGTTCTGTCTGCCGCCTTGATTTCTTCCTACTTTGTCATGTTGTATGGTCTGATGTACGGCTACCAGAAGTCCATTGAATGGCTTGTGTCATTCTTTACCGCATTCTTACAGAGTGCTTTGGTCACCCAGCCTCTCAAAGTGTTCATGTTTGCAGTGCTCATCGCCTTCATATTTAAGAAACCCGTTGAATTCGAAGTTCTCACCCAGAGGGACAACATGAAGCTTAGTATGTTTTTAAATACATTTTAAAAAACTATTTCAAACTTAAAGTCAGGTTCTACTGGGCCAATTTAACTGAAACTTGGTAGGAATGATCAACCCGTGGTCCTGGCAAACTTACTTAAAGTTATACTTAACTTTTTTTTACTCAAATTTTGGTAGGAATGATTGACATCATTATCTCCACTTCATATTTCAACAACAAAAATTAATACTATAGGACCTGGGTAGCCGTTAAGGCCCATGGGCCTCTTGTTATGAATAATATTCACTTGGGATAAGTTGATAGGCATACACAGTAACTTGCATCCAAGATTGCACAAGGCACAAATGGTTCCTTGATATTATCACATCTCAAAAACATCTTGCATAAAACTAATTAAAATGGTGGGCACCAAGATCTCTTATAAGTTCTACCTTATGTCAGGTGATCCCATAGTAATCAGTATCTTCAAAAGTTCAGTAGTATGAAGGTTCAAAAATATCTTCACCAGGACAACAATTATTTCTGCCAATTTGGTAATACGAGACTTTCATACAAATGTATTTTAAAAAGACCTAGCTATGAAGAAATCACACAATCAAGTAAAACAATAAAACTAATTGAACCTTTGAACAGCCTGGTATTGTGTAATGTGTTGTTCCGTTTGACTATTAAGTTTCCTGTTCATATTTACAGTGTCACTATCTGAAATTCAGAAATCACAAGACATATTGGTTCAAAATATGCATATATTGTATATTAATATCAGTTCCGGTTTGATATATTAAAATGTTATTCTTACATTGGGGAATATGAATATGTTCACGTGTGATAAACTGTAAGTGTGTGCATTGCACCATCTTAGATGAGAGTAAATGTATTATCTTATCCCAACTGGACATTCCTATTGATCCAGATATGTAATAGACATGTTCATCCTTTTGTTTCCGACCTGGTTTTTTACGAAACCTTAAATTAACAATGAACAAATAATATGAGATCGGTTTTAATGAATTTAAAAATTTAGGAACAGTGAAGTAAAAACATGACATTAATATAACCATATTTCAGACCATGATGAGGATTATTGCCAAACAGAACTGTTGAAGAGGCAGGGGATAACGCTGTCCTCCGTAGAACCAGTGAAACAGGCAGTGCGCGTGGCCATGCCTAGAAAGACATTACAAGCCATCAGGGAGAGGCTCCGACTGGAGAAGCACATCCCTACCATCCTTAGGGAGATGATCATGTATTTTACCTTTGTGGCTATCGTGCTGTTCATTGTGCATGGCCATCAGGATGTGACCACCAACTACGGTGCCACTAAGACTACAGAAGACATGTTTGTGCATGGAGCCTACACACAAGTCACCCTTTCAGAGGTCATTAATATATATATTACTCCTTAACTGATGTCCATATACGCATGTGACAACATAACTGAGGTCAGTACTTTCTTGACCCTCTGACTGAGGTCAGTACATACATAATTACAATACCAATATACATGTACACACGTGCCTCCTGGACTGATGTCGGTTCATACATTTGTAACATTGACAAATGATTTTACAATTTACAGGTAGAGAAGGTTGAGGATATGTGGAAATACCTACAAGATACAGCTGTACCTGTGCTATACAGCAACAACACGGGAATGATGGCTAATGGTGTTGGCTACTTGATAGGAACTGCAAGACTACGACAAAAACGCATAGAAAAGGGTGATTATACAAACAGATCTTAAGCATGTTCAGAATCTGGACACTACCTATCTACTCGCATCTATAACTGTTACCGTACCGCAAATAAGCCCCCCATCCCCCTTCTGAGAAAACGATGGGCCAAAAGTTGGGAGGGGGCTTAATTGCGAGCAACTCCCTGTTCACAAATGTCTGCCATCTTGGATATATACTACTGTTTTGATCTATGACCACACTAAATATCATGTACTTATCCACTGTAGTTGTTTATGTTGTAAAAAATAACAACTAACAGACAGAATATTTTATAACAGTCACCAAAAGTTGATGGTGCTGTTGTTTTTCTTGACTTGTTTTCTATCATCAATTTGTCTCGATAATTCAATTTTATCAAACACCATTTTCATATTTTTTTTTATTGATAAGTCAATCAGTGCTCTTTAAGACACAATACCAACATTCAGAGGTGTAAAAATGAATAGCACGACGACCGGGCTCTCTGGTGTTTGGCTAGCGCCATTACATGATTTGAATATATACCGTACTATAAGAAATTTGAGTATACAAGGCTGAAATAACACAAAACCATTGTCTTAATAATACAAAAACAACACAACAACTTATCTGTATGCAGGCTGCAAGCATTATGAGCAAGAAACATGATTTTTGTGTCGCCTGCGAAAAGCTGGTGACACATTGGTATTGCTATGTCGGCCGCACAGAGGTTTTCTTGCGATAACTTGAGTTTCCTTGGGCCCATCAAACTCAAACTCCATGCAGTGCTGAAGTGCTTGCTTGGGATTGCTTTTCAGGTCCAAAGTCAAAGGTCAAGGTCACTGTTACTATAAATAGAAAATCTGTTTTTGTGCGATAACTTAAGCTTCCTTGGGCCGATCAAACTCAAACTTCATGCAGTGCTTCCTTACTAAAAGTGCTTGCTTGCGATTGCTTTTAGGTCCGAAGGTCAAAGGTCAAAATCTGTTTTCGTGCGATAACTTAAGTTAACTTAGGCCGATCAAACTCAAACTTCTTGCAGTGTTTCCTTACCAGAAGTGCTTGCTTAAGATTGCTTTTCAGGTCCAAAGGTCAAGGTCACTGTTACTATAAATAGAAAATCTGTTTTCGTGCGATAACTTGTTTCCTTGGGCCGATCAAACTCAAACTTCATGCAGTGCTAAGCACAATCTGCCAAATTCCTGCGTAGGCGACACATCCACTTCCGTGGAATTCTTATATGGATAAAAGTCTTGCTTTGTTGACACTATTGGTTGATACAAATTTCAGAATGGCAATATGAAGGAACTGACCTTGACAATTAATTATTTTACCCAGATATATTGAATATATGAGACATAATAAGTAAAAGTATCTTGACATCATCTACTTCAGCTTACTTGCTATATGCAAATTTGGGGATTGGAGGTTACAAAGCAGCCTTATTTCTCAGCATAGTCATGCAAGGCGGTAATAGCGGAGACTTCTGCAAAACCAGATAATGTTGAAACTAAAACTGATATGATGAACCATTAATTGGAATTACACTTCTTTTTACACAATGCTGTTACTGGAAGTCCCTTTGTGATATCTTAGGTTGATTGACAGTTTTAATCAGATTTGTCCCATCGTTTGCAGTTGTTGTTCCATACTACACATAATTTAGCTTTTATCTGTGTGGACTTTATTGATATTGATACACTCGCCTTTGGCAAAGTGTATCTCGGTATTATTATGACTGACAGAGAAATAGTGTGACATATTATCTCAATTTATCTGAAAAGTAATAATTAGTTTGAGCTGCACAAGTGTAACCTAATCAGTACTAGCTGAGCTGTATAGGGGGTCATGCTGTGTGATCAGCTCCCTCTGGCTGAAGGGCAAATGGTCAGTAATGGGATACCCCCACTGGGACCATTAAAATGATAAGCTGAACCTCAGCCGATATAGTGTAGGTTTGATTTGTTTTTGTTTAACAAATTCAACATACAGTGGGACCTCGTTATCTCGAAGCCGATGGTCGTAGGAAAACTTCCGAGTTATCCAAGTATTCGAGTTATGCGGGTATTTGGTATGAAATTTGCTGTTTGGACATAGCACTAGCAGTTGTTGGTTTAATTAATAGCCTATGCTTCTAATCAATCAATGAATGATAGACGTAATCAGTATATCAAATACAGGTATGTAATTTTACAATAAACACGCTTACAACAATAGAGTAAGTTATTTCAGAAAACCGTACTTTCGTTTTTAAACGCGATCAAAACAGTTGTGAATTCATTATTAAATATGGACGGGCCAAGTTTTTTTCCTAGTTTAAAACTTGGCAAATACAAATGCAGACCTGGAAAGACTTTGCAAGTCCGTCAAGTTTTACTTCTGAAGTGTTACATTTAAAATCGAACTATCTCGCTGTCTCCGACCTCGTAGTTACAATGCGAAAATGAAAGTGCGCAAGTCTAAAACAAATCACTGTAATGGAGCGTACGCATAGTTGATTCTGTACATGAAAACACACACAAACAGATTATATCGTACATGTAACACATTGATTCATTAAAGCCAAATGTGACACCTGACACCTCCTCAACTTGATGTAATCAACAGCAATTATCGTATTGTTCTTAAATCTCTGTGATTTTAACTGTGGAACTCTTTTATGCATGACCACGCTTTGTGACCAATTTTCCGGTTTGCACTGTCGTCTGTTTGGGTGTACAAATCATTAAACGGACTCGCAGTAAGTGCAGAATACTGTTGATCAACATGGATGAAGTTTGATTTTTATTATGAACAACATGGTTTCGACAGTCCGTACACTTTACAAATTACAGTCTGAAGCTTTATCGTAATTTCTTTTTACCGATTTTATGCTAGTCTACTTACGAAAGATGTTCATAAACACGGAATGGCGAGATGTTGTACTTTTGCATTTTATTTGTATCAATTAATTAGGAATAGGTGACAAAATGAAATTTGAACACTATGAAGTAGACGATGTTATGATGCTGGATTAACGCTATTGAAACCAATATTTTACCTCGAGATATCCAAGTTTTTCGACTTTTCAGGGTTCGAATTATCAGAGTTTTAGTTACTAAGATAAAGAAGAGATTTGGCTTGGACCGGAGAAATACTTCGAGATAAACGGGGTCTTCGAGTTAAAAGAGTTCAAGATAACGAGTTTCGACTGTACTATTTATATGTAGATTCATTCTTTTTTACAAGAATAGAGAAATAATAACACTAAGCATTATGTGTAGTTTATGGAACTGTTTTGATTATTCAAATCAAGCAAGTAGTTTTGATTCTGTATATGTTTTACTGTCATTTGAAGTGTTCAAATACTAAATAATTCAATAATGCATTTAAGTTCAATGTTTGTGTTAAAAGTGTAAGACTTCAGTAAAAAGCAGAGAATGTCATCTTTCAGGACAAGTATTAAGATTAGTTGTAACATTTATAGTTTTGATAAATTATCAGGTTCAAGTAAAATAAGAAACACAACATTTGTCAAATGTCCTGCTGGGTCAGATCGGCAAGTAGTCTCAGCAGGAGGTCTTCTGTGAGGAACAAGTAGCAAGTATATAAGGAACTTATAGGAGGGCAGTGAGGCTACAAAAAACACAGACTTCGTCCGTGAAGTGTAGTCTATAAACCCATCAACCAACCAACCAACCAAGACTGAGAGAGTTCTTGTCCTAGGCTCGGTTATAACCGGAACAAGGACGTAAAGCCCCACCAATCAATCAATCAAGAGTATAAGAGAGAGAGACCTTGAGAGTCAGAAAGGAGAGAGTGAAAGATTATCAACATTTAGATTAACCTGTGTAAGCTGTACATGGAAATAAAGTGGAATGTTGGTGTTGGAGTTGTGACTGCCAGGACAATTATGTCGTATGGCCGGACTATGACATCGGACCCGAAAAAGGGCAACCGGTCACATTATCATGTTTATCCATCTTTCGTCAGTCGGTCCGTCTGTCATCTGGCTTGTCAGCAGCTTTCTGACTAAAGTGTTAACCAATAGTCATAGAATTTCCCACAGATATTTCTGAAATTATTCCTTGTAGCCTAATTAAAAGTCAATGTCATACATTTCAATTAAAGGTCACCCTTTGAGAGTTTTTAAAAGATGACTGGAAAAGTGTGCATTTATTTTGACTGAAAGTTCTGTCTAACGCTTTCAGCCAAGTTTGATGAAAATCCACACCTTTGTTTCTTATGTCAATCACTATAAAAATCAGTCAAAGGTCAAGTTCAGACATTCAAGGTCAGCATCACAGTTACAGAAACTTTTACTGATAGTGGAGAATTTATACATTTTGCTTTTTCGCAGGTTCCTGTCAACGTTTTCGACCAATTTTATTAAGCTTCTTAATTATCACTGTACCCGATTTTGTTGTTTGTACATACTGATGCATTTTGTAACTTCAATCCATATCAAATAGGAATAATGGTTGGAATGTATGTACCCCATTCTATCAGTCTGCACTCCAACAAAGCTTGGCAGACTTCCTTTTCAATCCCCTTGTATTTATCTACTTTATTTGATAATTTAAATGTCAATAATGATGCTGGTTCTATTTTTTTGCCAAACCCAATGAGTATGATTCTTTTTTCTTTCGTTTCAGGTATAACATGTTACAGAGTTGACACCCGCTTGCATGCTTCGCTCTTTCCTGACCAGGATTGTGAAGTGCCATTTTCAACTGGTGATGAAGAATGGCGCCCATTTAATGCATCTTGGGCTTGGCCTCTCCCTGAAGCAGCTAAATTTCCAACCAAAGACAGTGCTTGGAAATATCGTTCATCATTGGAACTAAAAACGCTTCCTTTTGTCGGAAGGTTCGCTTCCTATTCTGGGGGAGGTTATGTCACGGAGCTGCCAGCAGGCAGTGACGCTGCACACACTGCACTCAATGACCTCAGGTCCCAGCACTGGGTTGACCAGTACACTCGAGCAATTTTCTTGGAGTTCACTTCCTACAACCCCAATGTTGATCTGTTCACAGTGGCCGTTATCATATTTGAACTATCAAACATAGGGAATATCATGCCTTATTATCAATTTTTCTCCTCCAAGCTGAATCACTATGACTCTGACCTCGGAATTTTTGTTGCTGTATGCGAGTCACTTTTTCTGGTGTACCTGATAGGTTTCACTTATTTCGAAGTGAAGAAGTTCACTAAATTGCGGAAAACTGAGTACTTCTCCAACACATGGAATTATATGGAAATTATGATCATTGTGCTTGGTTATTGTACCATTGGGTTATTTTTTCAGAGACTTGTTTTAGTGGACAGCGTTCTCTCGGAATATAGGAAAAATGGACCCAACAAATTCACTAGTTTCTACACCGCCGTGTTTTGGGACTTTGTTTTGACATATATCATGGCCGTTTTAGTCATGTTAGTAATTCTGAAAGTTTTCAAATTATTCCGCTTCAACACTAAGACCACCATCCTTATGCAAACGTTGGGGAATGCGAAAGGGGGTCTGTTGAATTTTGCATTTTTGTTTTTCATTTGCTTCATGGCATTCGCTCTCTTTGGACACCTAGTATTCGGTTATTGGATTGTTGACTATAAAGATGTGGGAAGCAGTATAATAACCCTCTGTAACTTTCTACTCGGTGTTTCAGACTACTACAAACTCGAACAGGCACACTCTGTACTTGGACCCACCTTTTTTGTCATGTTTGTTTTCTTCATCCAGTACATTCTGTTGTCTGTGTTTGTAGCCATCATTCGAGAGGCCCAGAGTCTCTCTCGAAAGACAGGTAATAATGAAATTGCCCTCACAAAGTTTGTCTGTGAGCGGTTCCTGCTTATGATAGGATTCCTTCAGCGATCGGATTACAAGTGATGTTGACTATTTTAATTTATTCAATTCAAATGGTGTACATTTGAACAATTATGTTTAGTGTTTGCTATAAATTTCAATTGTTTTTGTTCCTGTTTTCTTTGTTAATAAAACTTAGACTAGAAATTAGAATTGTATAGCGTTTGTATGTTTAAACCAAGAAAAAGTAAACAGATAAATGAGAAAAGATTGACCAATTATCATATAATGATCAAGTGTGAGAATGTACCAAAGTCCGGACCAAGGTTACTAATACTGTCTATGGAAAGGGTATAGTAGAGTTCCCACAATGGGGTCCCGTGACCACTTTTCCCGTACCAAGGTTTGAAAGTTTATTTTAGTCAGTTTGAGGGTGCTGATTAAAATGAGCTGGGGTGAACCTCGTGAAAATGTGGGCTAACTCGGCCAGACGCGAAAATTCAAAATGGCCGCCACCGGTCGTCTGGAATATCAAAAAAATACATATCTTTGCTTCTAGATGTCCGTTTTATATGATTTTGGGGTCTAAATATATGTATGAACGGTCAGGGATTTTATTTATTAGTATGTGACCTTGATTAAAGTAAGTGTTAGAACGAAAAATGGTCTCTTATTTTTTGGCTGCCAAAAACCAGGATAACCGCAAGCTGACTGCAAAGGAAAAGACCAGGAAGCCACCCTTTATGGTTTGGATGTAAAATTTTCATCTTTAACCAGTGTATATTTCGGGTTTATCGTCCTTGCATCAGCCAGACTCATATGATTGGTTTTGTTTGTTTTTAATTAGTTCAACGTCCTATTAACAGCTAAGGTCATTTACGGACGTGCTTCTATGTGCGTTGTGTATGCGTGCAAGTGTGTATGTATGCAGGAGACAGGGTATGTTGGTGTACTTGCCTCCTTGTAATAGCGCGGATCTGACTTTATAGTGCTATTTCACTGAAATACTATGCCGAAGACACCCAGCACATCAATAAGTCCAGTCACATTACACTGACAACGGGTTAACCAATTGTTGCAATTTCCCTAAATGCTGAACGTTAAGCAGGGTGATTTTTAGCTCCCTTATGCCGTGGTGAAGGACAACTAAGTTTGTTCAAATGAATGACTTTGACATATATTCAAGGTCACATGGGTCAAATATGTTTAAAACCTTTTAACAACTGCTCAATAAGCAAAAGGCCAAGGGTAATGATATTTTGCCATTAACATGTTGGGATGAAGGACTACCAAGTTTGTTCAAATGAATCACCTTCGCCCATATCCAAGGTCACAGTGGTCAATATATGTTAAAATCTTTAAATGACTTGTTCTGTATAACCAAAAGATCCAGGGTACTGATATTTTCCAAGAAGCATGCTGGGTGGAAGACTTTACACTCTGTTCAACTTAATGTCCTTGTTCGACATTCAAGGTCACAGGCATGAGTGATATGTTTATATCTTTTAATAGGTTCTTATAATTATGAATCAAACGCTGATATTCTGCCTGTAGCTGTATTTTAGTCCACTTTTAAAATTACAAGTGTAAGATTAATACCAGGTGAGCGATTCAGGCCCTTTGGGCCTCTTTTACTCTTTGTCGGTTATGGTTATTAGATAACTGCATTCTGATTTCTACAGTTTTTATTTGACGGAAGTATTATGGTATGGGGTTGTCCGTCCGGTGTAAACTTTTTTATTTGTCCGGCAATATCCTCCTACATTTTTGACCGATCTTTTTGAAACTTGGTATACACTATAATCATAATATTAAGTTGTGCCTCTCTTAAAAAAAATTTGATTCAACGATTTTTGCAAAAGTAATTGCCCTTTCAGTATTTATTTTTTTTGTCCAGAGATTTTCTTTTACATTTTTAGCTCACCTGCCCGAAGGGCAAGTGATCTTATGCCATGGTGCGGCGTCCGTCTGTCTGGCGTCAACTTTTTACTTAAACAACTTCTTTTCAGTAACCAAAATGGCCTAGGATGATGATATTGAGCCTGTAGCATACTGGAATCAAGGGCTACCAAGTTTGTTCAAATGAATGACCTTCATCAATTTTCAAGGTCACAGCGGTCAAATATGTTAAAATCTTTGAACAACTTCTTCTGAAGAACCAAGAGGCCTAGAGTGATGATATTTGGCCAGTAACATGCTGAGATGAAGGGCTACAAAGTTTGTTCAAACAAATGACCTTCTCCAATTTCCAAGGTCACAGGTGTCAAATATGTTTAAAACCTTTAAAACAACTTCTTCTCAATAACCAAACAGCCTTGGATGATGATATTTGGCCTGTAGCATCCTGAAATCAAGGGCTACCAAGTTTGTTCAAATGAATGACCTTCATCCTTTTAAAAGGTCACAGGGGTCAAATATGTTAAAATCTTTGAAAGACTTCCTCTGAAAAACCAAGAGGCCTAGGGTGATGATATTTGGCCAGTGACATGCTGGGATGAAGAGCTAAAATTTTTTTTTTTTTTTTAAATGACCTTAATCCATTAAAAAGGTCACAGGGGTCAAATATGTTAAACTCTTTGACAGACTTCTTCTGAAGAACCAAGAGGCCTAGGGTGATGATATTTGGCCAGTGACATGCTGGGATGAAGAGCTACCATGATTTTTAAAAAACAAATGACCTTCACCAATTTTCAAGGTCACAGGGCTCAAATATGTTAAAAACCTTTAAACAACTTCTTCTGAATACCCAAGAGGGAAAGGATAATGTTATTTGGCCAGTAACATGCTGGGATGAAGGGCAACCAAGTTTGTTCAAACGGATGACCTTCATTTTTTTCAATGTCACAGAGTTCAAATATGTTAAATACCTTTCAACAACTTCTAAGTAACTAAAAGGCTAAGGGTGATGATATTTGGTCAGTATCATGCTTGGATGAAGGGCTACCAAGTTTGTTCAAACAAATGACCTTCGCCCATTTTCAAGGTCACAGGGGTCAAATATGTTAAATACCTTTCAACAACTTCTAAGTAACTAAAAGGCTAAGGGTGATGATATTTGGTCAGTATCATGCTTGGATGAAGGGCTACCAAGTTTGTTCAAACAAATGACCTTCGCCCATTTTCAAGGTCACAGGGGTCAAATATGTTAAATACCTTTCAACAACTTCTAAGTAACTAAAAGGCTAAGGGTGATGATATTTGGTCAGTATCATGCTTGGATGAAGGGCTACCAAGTTTGTTCAAACAAATGACCTTCGCCCATTTTCAAGGTTGCAGGGGTCAAATATGTTCAAAACCTTTAAACAACTTCTGAACTACCAAGAGGCCTAGGTTTATGATATTTTGCCAGTTAGATGCTGGGATGAAGGGCTACCAAATATGTTCGAATGAATGAACTTTGCTGATATCCAAGATCACAGGGGTCAAATATGTTAAAATCTTTGAACAACTTCTTCTAAATAATAAAGAGGCCTAGGGTGATGATATTTGGCCTTTAGCATGCTGGGATGAAGAGCTACCAAGTTTGTTCAAACAAATGACCTTCACCCATGTTCAAGGTCACAGGGGTCAAAAATGTTTAAAACCTTTAAAACTACTTCTCAATAACCAAGAGGCTGAGGGTAATAATTGGCATGTAGCATGCTAGGATGAAGCGCTACCAAGTTTGTAAAAATGAATGACCTTGACAATTAGTCAAGGTCACAATGGTCAAATATGTTTAAAACCGTTAAACAACATATTTTCAATAACCAAAAGTCCTAGGATGATGCTGTTTGGCCAGTAGCATGCTAGGATGAAGGACTACCAAGTTTATTCAAACGAATGACCTCGACATATATAATAAAGGTCACAGGGGTCAAATATGTTTAAAACCTTTAAACGACCTCTCCTCAATAAGCAAAAGGCTAAGGATGATGATATTTAACATGCTGGAATTAAGGACTACCATGTTTTTTCAAATGAATGACCTTCGCCCATATGCAAGGTCACAGTGGTCAATATATGTTAATATGTTTATATGTTTCATGACGAATCCTAAAATATGATATTTTGTGATATTGATATGCAAGGCCAAAAAAATCGACAATGGTGATGGGTGTAGTCATCTCTTTCAATTATGTTGCCCTCTACGTTATAGTTCTTTCTTTTCACACGAACATCAAACTATTTGAACATTTTCGAAACATTCTTAAGAATGTCTTACATAGAACTCATCAATTTGGAAACAATGTACGTTTCAAGACCGATTGGTCTCTTTTATTTGTCAAGCTATGATATGATGGACCGGGATAATAACAAAAACTTTACGTCCAGTTGTGTTTTTCATAACATTCATACGGTATCGTATATCGGTTCTCTATGTCAGGCACAGGGCGCCAGGTAAAACTCCGGGGTGTTCTCGTTTCCCCCACCTTTTGGAGAGCAAAGGAAAGTGTTGATATAGGAAGACAAGGACAAACCGATTATAGTCAGTTTCACACTAACCCCACATGTCACACAGGTAAGTTACTTAACCGCGTGATCTGTAGCTTTTCTGTGCTTGTGCTATATCAACACTGCTTTTTTATTTTTTTTGGGGGGGGGGGAGGGGGGCAGTTAATACATTAAATTTCAAGTTAATTTTTGGTATTAATAATCGACAGTCAAATGCCTATGTTATCTGTTAAATAGACATCTTTAAAGAAGATAGATCACACAATAATATCAATCAAAAGCATCACACAAAATTAAGATTTAATCAAATCCCGCAATGTATTGCGTGTAGATCACATTAACTCATCACACAATATAATTACTTAAGACTATAAAGCTCTTTCGAAAAGTCAATAGTTGTACATATTTTGACTACATTTCTTTTCAAATCTAAAATGTTAATACAATACAATAGATTCTTTATCTGAAATGTATGCTTCAGATTATGGATAGGTTATGAGAATTATTTCCTAAATATCTTACTTGTAAATAAAAATCATTTGAACTTTCCATTATTATCTATCTGTTAAATTTGATATGTTCTGAAGTTTGACAATTAAATAACTATTTACTGATTTAAATTCCAATTTAAAAGTTTGAAAATAAGTAAACACTTATAAAGTTCCGTCATCACAAATGGTAAGTGACTGTATTTTGCTATGATTTTCATACTATTTGCTGTTGATTGTTAATGCGGGGACAGTCGAGACATAATTTTTTGAATACTTGTTATTTAATTTTTTATAATGATTACCTTATAATTATAAATACGACACACTCTGTCACATATAGACAATTTCTTATTCTTACTTGGTAAAATCGTAAAACGTAATCTTCACGCATCAGATATCTCAATGAATACAATCTGCATGTGGTCTATAGTTATCTCGTAGCCAGAGCCGACATCGCTTCTAAATGTATTACCGTATGGAAGATCTAAAGCTTTCCATTCAAGATATTTTATTGTTTTGATAAAGGGAAATCTTCCCCCTCTTCCCTAAGGCTTGATTAACTAGGGTCTGCTTCATTCGTTGCCGTCTAGATTGCCTTAATTTGGCTTGTTTTTAAAGTTAAACATAATTTTAAAATCGTAATAAGGGTGAAGAACTATAAACCTATTTTATTTTCGCTTTTGGATCCTGATTCATTAGATGACATACAGAAATGTCAAATTAGAAATA